CCATCATGATCTTTGCTTGAAAGGAAGGACCCTAATCACTTCTGCAGCACCCGGCAGTTCCGGATAATTGAGAGTTACTGCACGGCCTTTAGGCCAAAGCTGAGCGAGCGGAAGAAAGCTATACGAATCAGATCACCGTACACGAATCGAATCAGTACGGCGGATCAGCTCACAAATCAGATCACACCGGTCAGCGGATCCGATCAGCCAAATCCGCGGATCAGATCCGAGGGTGGCCGCGGATCAGATCAGGAGGAGGCACGAATCAGATCAGCACGAGGCACGAATCAGATCAGGGCATGGTACATGGGCACGCGCTGGATTGGGCTTGAGGGTTCAGGGTTTAGGGTTTACGGTTTAGGGTTTGGTAGGTTTCGAGGTCTTACGGTTTTGGGCTGTAGGCCTCTGGTTCATGTAGGTCTTTTGGGGTTGGGGTTTTAGGGTTTATTCAGGGTTTACGTCTGGAGGCTGAGGGTTTAGGATCTAGGGTTGTTTTTTTGGTCTAGGGGTTTAGAGTTTATGGTTTAGGGTTGGGGGGTTTGAGCTGGAGGCTTCAGGGTTTCGGGCTTCATCAGGGTTTATGGTCTAGGGCAGTCTAGGGTTGAGTTTTGGTTTGTAGCCTGTAGGCTTCAAAGGGATCCGGCTTTTTTATGCAAAGGTGTGGCTCGGTCATGGTGTGGCTTATGGTCCTGTGGTCCTTTTGAAGTACCATCATTTACAGCATTTGGGAGAGAGCAAATGTTGCAATTTGCCAATGTGGCTCAGTCCTGGTGGTCATTTAGTCCTTTGGTTGTATGGTTTTCTGGTTCCCTGGCCTGGTCTCTGGTCCGGCAGTCCTGTGGCCTTCTGGTCTGATAGTCCTGTGGTTTTCTGGTCTTTAGTCCCGTGATCCGGTCGTTCCCATCACCAAGCCATCATGCATTTGCAAATCGAGCATGGGCATCAAACGTATTTGTTGCGCATCGTAAGCCTTGACAAGCATCAACAATTGGTGAAATAAGCTGCGAAAAAGCGAGCGTAAATGCCCGCTCCCAGAACCTAGGCCCTGGGCAGTTCCAGTCTTCTCGTTCTGTGGTTCTCTGGTCGTGTGGTCCTCTGGACCTTTGGTCCTCTGTACCTGTGATCCTCTGCTGCTCCGGCCCTGTGGTCCTCTGGTCCTGTGAACCTGTGGTTCTCTGGTGCTATGGTCTTAGATTTGCATCACTTGGAAACCTCAGATCGTCGTAGTGCGCAATTTTTTGGTATACAAGATGCGACAAGATTCCCTCCATCCACGCTAGTCCTGGCAGCATTTGTGGGTCGGATTGACGTAGCAGCCTCTTCTGCTGCCAAAGATCGATTGCAAGATTCAAGCAAGTGGATCCCAAATTATAGCCCTTTAACCCATTCTTTCATTCCTTACTAAACCAAGGTGTAACCCTGAACCCCAAACTGGCTATAATTGCTTTCAGACCCTCGGATCCTCTTAGATTTTGAAAGGTGTCAACAGTCACAGGGTTCGTGGGGCTCGGGGACCCCCCGGCTGTTTTAAAATCATCCATGCTTCCAATAGAAACATCATGTCATCAACATGTTTGCAGGAAAGGAAAGTTGTGCGGATCATTTTGTTTGCAAATGGGGGGACTGCGTCCCCCCCGACCCCCCCACTGTTTTAAAACCATCCATGCTTCCAATAGAAAACATCATGCCATCGCCATGTTTGCAGGAAAGAAAAGTTGTGCGGATCATGTTGTTTGCCAATGGGGGAGGCTGCCCCCCAACCCCCCCGCTGTTTTCAAAAACATCCACGCTTCCAATAAGAAACGTCATGTCATCACCATGCTTGCAGGAAAAGGAAAGTTGTGCGGAGCATTTTGTTTGCAAATGGAGGGGCTGCGTCCCCCCCCCAACCCTCCCGCTGTTTTAAAACTATCCATGCTTCCAATAAAAAGCATAATGTCATCAACATGTTTGCAGTTTGCAGGAAAGCAGAGTTGTGCGGATCATTTTGTTTGCAAATGCGGGGGCTGCGCCCCCCCCAACCCCCCCGTTGTTTTAAAGCCACCCATGCTTGCCAAACAAATGAAGCATCATGTCATCACCATGTTTGCAGTGAGGGGTGGTTGTGCAGATCATTTTGTCATTTACAGCGTTTGAGGCATTCCAAGACCAGCAGAAACTGTAATTCACGGCGTTTGAAGCATTCCAAGACCAGCAAATGGATAATTTGCAGCATTTGTTATGTTCCAAGACCACCAAGTACTGTAGTTTGCAGCATTTGAGACGTTCCAAGACCTGTAAATGGTGCATTTTGATGTAATTTGCAGCATTTGAAGCGTTCCAAAACCAGCAAATGGTGTAATTTACGGCATGTGACACGTTCCAAGTCTAGCGAATGCTGTGATTAGCAGCATTTGAAGCGTTCGAAGACCGAAAAGGAGCGAGCCGCAACTTTGCCCAAAAACAGCCCGAGCCACACGTTTGCAATAAGGAAAAAACGCGGCCTCAGAGTATGGACAACGTTGGGCACAGCCTATGCAGGCCTGGGTGGGAATTTAAGATTTAAGGGTTTAGGGTTGGGTGTGTACGGTTTTGGGCTGGATTCCCTACGATCCGATTCGCGGTTCCCTCGCTGGCGCGATCCGCCGCCCCCGATCCGATTCATAGGACCCCCGATCTGATTCGCGCTATGAAATGATGAGTGGGGCAGTATGGGGGTGGGGTAGGCAGGGTAGGGTGTTGGGGTGCCCTTTTTCCGCCACGAATTGGTCCGAACCACAAGTAACCCATGATTTCAAGAAAAGCCAAGAATGCGCAGTTTCCTTTATCAGGTACCCTGCATTAGGAACCAGTACCAATCCTCTATGGCACTTTGTCCCGTCTGCATGATTCTTCGGATCCTGAAATCCCAAAATCCTGGCGCTTGTTGAAAGATGCTCTGATGGAGCAGCCAGAGAGGGTCTCCTTGACGTTGTCACTCACAGCCAGCCCGCGTTTGAATGGACACTCTTGTAAGGGATTGGGCTTTTTGCCAGCGGGTTTGTCGTGGCAGGCACTTGTTGTGGGACAGCCTACAGGTCAGAACTTGTTTCTCAGCAGTCTACAGGTCAAACCTTTGCATTGGGCAGTCTGTAGGACTGATCTTGCTTCCCTGACCCTCCTCCAAAACCGGGCACCCGTCTGCCTCTGACAATTTCTACGGTCGAGGTTTTGGTTTGCATCCATGAGGCTCCAGAGTCCGACGCTTGGCTCACATGCAAGCGCCAATAGACGTAGATCTCATGCACGGTGCAGCACAGCTTTGAGGCTGTTACCAGCTGAGCGTGGGCAAGGCGCTGAGTGGCGGCCCAGCGCATTTGTTGCATCTCCTCTTGGGGCATGTGCTGTGCAATCTGTGCAGAGAGTAATATCTCAGCGCCAGCTTATGAGCTTGCAGATGCACAGGTCCAGCCGCCTGTCGCGCTCTCACTTGACGACTTTCTGCCTGGAACAGGACGAGTTCTATGCCTCTGCACTTTCATCCTCATTTCTAAGCTGGCTTCCTCACGATTCTGCAAGGACTTTCCAGAGCTGAACCTGAGCATGGTTCGAGGCACATAGCTTTGGCATCAGCTTCTGATTCGTAACCACGGCTGATTACTGGAGGTCTGCGAATTGCGCGGATTGTTTGCGATCCACGTCTTCGCGGCCGGGGATTTGGAAGTGGGGATCCCTGAAGCTGTTTGAACGATGTACTAGTACTTCTTTGAACTGAATCTTCCTAATCCTTTGCTTATTGAAAGGAGCAATGCAAGTCTCAAGCGATTGCCTCCTAGGCGAGGCGGTCAACCAGTTGGTGTCCCACCTAAACGGCTCCGCCATGCAGGAGGTGGGCTTCGTGTAGCTTTCTGACACGACGTGGTGACGTAGTGATGCGCGGCTAGGAGTGCGCAAGATCAGTCGCATCCACCGCCCTGCTCAGCACGCCAGCTCAGCCTTCCCGACCTTCAGAAAAGCCGTGCACTCCAACCGTTGTCCTCTCGCTCAGGGCCGCTCAAGCTGTCTGAAGTTGCTTGGCTGGGTGCATCTTTCGGCCCCTTGGTGCGAACAACTCAAAGCATCTAATAGGTCCGGCAAGAAGCGCGGCAGGCAAAGCGATGACTCAGGTATGACAGGGCAGCTACTTCGGTTTTGGTCACGTGCGCTGGCTGCACGAAGAGCTCTGTTGCATCGCCTGCGCATGTTTGGCGACTGTTCAGTAAGAGTGACACGCTTTCTACCGCTGCCACAAGCGTTGCGCAGTTGAGGCCTGGAATTCCAGCCTGTTGCACTGTCGCCGGCCGGAGTCCCGGCGCACCCGCTGAAGATGTTTGTAGGATGCCGCAGAGCACGTCGAGGTTGTGAATCCGCAGACGGGCGAAGTCTCAGCGCATGCCTCAGCTCTGAGAGCTTTGCCGGATCGAGCAGGATATTTGGCTGCTGCAGTGCTGTATGAATGTTCCATCACTTCAGCTATGGGCATATTCGACAGCAGTCCATTTCTTGATGCGGTTGTTCACACTGAATCTCGCATGATTGCAGCAGGTGGTGATGTCCCAGCCTGAGAGAGAGAGCAGCCGTACAGCTTCTTGGAGCAATTGGTAAGGCATCATCATTGGATGATCGCTGAATGAGGTTGCGCCCGCTTCAAGGAGCTGGTCTGTCTCTGGAGGTTAGAATGACATGCTTAACTGTAGCAGGGCTGAGCTGTGTGCATTTCCGCGAAGACTCAGCTTGGTAGTTCAATCCCACAAGCTGATCTCGTGAATCTCTGCTGCGCCAAGAGTACGTGTCCATGGCAAACGCACGTGCTTTGCAGTGAGATGTCTTGGCTCTGATGCTCTGGGTAGGGTGAGGGGTGGTCTGGTGCCAGAGCGCACTGCGAGGAGGTTCCGTGGCAATCAGCTCGCTGTGCGCATTTTTTGTTATTGACTGGGTTGAAGTGTGTTTGGAGCTCAACAAGTGCGGAGGCCTGAGCCGAAGTTCTTCCAATGGCCATCTAGATGGCCATAGAGAAGGACACGTTGCCGGTTTGAAGATGACACGTTTTTCGTGGCTAGACTCTTGCGTTCTGGGTTTGCGGTGCATGTGGCTTTGTATGGGGCCCCATAAAAGCCGGCATACGAATTGCTTCAGAACTCATTGTTTGGGGCCTCCGCTTGTGGCACTGCAGCTAGTTTCGTGGACCGGCAGCCAGGGGTCAGAGCGCTCTGAAGAGTATCTAGAGTCCCCTCCCAAAAATATTTGGGGCCCAAAGCCTGGAAGGCTAACAGAACTCCCGGCTTCGGCAGACATCGCGCGTGCCAGGACTACGATGTCTTGGAGCGCCTGGGCGAGGGAGCATTCGGAAAAGTCTACAAGGCAAGGCACAAGAAGACTGAGGACTGCAAAGCCGGCCGATGTTGTTTAAGCATGGGGAAAGACGTCCTGAACATCAGGAGTTGGTTGCTGTGAAGCAGATCAAGCTTGGAGCCAAATCCTGGGACGAAGCCTGCAAGTCGACGGAGCTGGCTGCTTTGAGACAGTCCCGGTCTCTTTCTTGCTGTGGCCTGTTCATCCCGACATGAGCTGCTGCGACTTCGAGGTTGCGCCATCCCTTCATTGTTCGGCTCAAAGAGCTCTTGCGCAACCAGCTGGATGGGAGCCTGCTGCTGGGCAGCAAGAAATGCAGCCTCAACGCAGTGGGCGGGTGTGCAATAAGCGACTTATTCAATCCCCCTTGCACGCCAGGTATTACATCTTTGAGTACATTGATAGCGATCTGTGCCGGCTTGTAAGGCATGTGCACGCTGCCGCGTAGATGAGCCAGATGCGTGTGTGCACGACTGTTTTCGTGAAGGCAGAACCCATCCGGTCTGGAGGAAAGCTTTGCTGCTGGTTTGGCCCGGCAACTGTTTGCAGGCTGTTGCAAATGCTTGCAGATTTCAGGGTTTGCGTAGCTGGTGAGGCTGGGGTGCAGAAGTCTTGCGGTGGCAAAGCTGTGGCACCTGTTTCCTCCACATACCGTTACGTAAGTAGTAGACCAGCAGTCAAAATGGTTTCTGGCCAGCGAGGCGCCATGTCAGCACTCCTGCCTCCCTAGAGCTTTCATGTTCAATTGAAGTTTCTCTGATTTTGTGCAGCAGGTCTCGCGCACATACATCAACACAACTTCTTTCATCGTGCCTGGGCAGAGAGACCCCAACTGGCTCGCCATCTTCAATTGGTAATTTATGCTTGGTCTGCCAAAGCAATAACCGAGGAGACATAAAGCCGGAGAATGTCCTTTACGAGACCAAAAGGGAAGTCGTTCGAATTGCGGACTTCGGCGAGTCCCGCTCTCTCCGCGCAAGGCCCGCTAGATGAATCATGGATGATCTCAGTTGTTGAGTGATTTTACTTTGTCCAAACTACTCCAAACTGTGTTTACAGGCCACCGTTCACGGACTATGTGGGCACCCGCTGGTACCGAGCTCCAGAGTGTTTGCTGCGGGACCGCGGCTACTCCTCGCCGGTAGCTTCTTGCCTATGCTACCTCTGAGTCCTCTGAGTCGGCATGCCAGTAGCAGACACGCTCCCAGAAGCAGCTTTACCTTTTCGCTAAGGATGTTTTCTCGTCTGGCTTGGTGTTCGCAGAGCTGTTGAGGGGCTCTCCTGTCTTTATGGGGTCTTCGAGCATGGACCAGCTGTACAAGATTTTCTCCGCAGCTCGGTGGCAGCTTCTTTCCATTTGCATTCTATTGTTGCCCCGACTGCCACTGCCACCAAGAGGAGAATGCAGTAGCATGCACACCTCGTGAACACCGCAAACTGGTGCTTGCTTTCTCAAAACGTAAGGTCCTTGGGCAGCCGGTCTCTGACTGGCCTGACGGGGCCTCTGTGCAGTACTGAAGAGGATCCGACCTGTGCCAGCTTGCGTTGCTGAGGAATTCTCAAGGCTGGCGGAGGCCTGCCGCTTTCGCGTGCCAGCATCTTCGGGTACTGGGCTGCAGCCTGGCTCTCAGAAGCGAAGTCCCGGTGCAGCAACAGCTCGTCCGCTAGCGTGTTCTTCGCTGCATTTGTCTCTCGTGTCGCCTTTGCTTTTGTTCATTGTTGACGTGGCAGGGTGCGCTTGAAGTTTGGATGTGCAAAATTTATCTTGAGAATCTTCCGGAACCAAAGAAGCCAGCACAACTACTCATGAAAGAGGCCTGTGATTCCTCGAGCTTCAAGCCGCTGGATCCTCAGTCGACTTCCGCGTCAAGTTGCCGATCGTTTTGGACCAAAGTTCTGCCTAGGTGCTATTGCCATCCTCTCAGAGATCCTTTTATTGAATCCGCGGAGGCGACCTATGGCCAGGAAGGCTCGCAAGCTTGAGAGGGAGGCATTGAGTACAGCAATCACTGCCGCAGTGTGGAGTGGAGGTGTTGGAGCACAACTACTTCAGTGTGCTGCCCCCTCTCGATTTGGACCGACTGGATACCAGTCGCTCCACAGCAGCCCGGCAGCGGAGCCATGTTCGTCAGCACAAGTCTGGCTCTGGAATTCACTTGCGTCGTTCCCGCTTTATGTGGTGATGCGTCTTGTCGCAGGGTGGCAATTCGGCCGCTGCTCTCACGGCATACCTGCAAGAGCGCTGCGACTCTCGCCACTCCTTCTCGATGAATGAGGCTGGTGTGCATTGGCGTGCTTACTAGGGTCTTTGGTTTTTAGACTTCATTGTCGGGCGCTTGCACAAATTCACCATGTTATGCCCTGGCGGCAGATCCATGTAGATCAGGAAAGCGACGACTGTACAGACTTTCAAGGCGCCGCCAACTGCATCCCAGGGCACGCTGCAGACCGGGAACGGGTCCCAGGGAACGCTGCAGGCGTGGAGCAGGCTCCCTCCTAACTGAGAAGATAGAGCGCGCACGTTTTCCAGGCTTCTCGGCCAGAGACTCCGGTTTTGCCCCCACCGCCAGTGCCAGCCCCGCCACCTAGCCGTCCAAAGAGCGAGGCGACTGGGTTGCCTGCATTGAGACGGGAGCTTTTATGCTGTTTTTGCGGGCGACGGTGCAGCAATTTGCCATTGCAGGTCTGCGTGGATGATGTGGATCTTGATGCAGAGTTAGACAAGCCATGCTCTCAGGGGTCTTCATGAACAGCATCGATTGCCCAACTCTCCCAATGGATGCCAGGATCCTCGGCGATGCACCTTGCAGGTCTGCTGAGGCAATGGCTCAACTTACAACTGCCCGTGCAGAAATCATAGTGTGTTTGCCCAAGACACAGTGGTTGGCTGGATTACACTGATTACACTCCGTCCACGCGACTTCTTGGTGTAGATGTGTTCACTTAGCTCTGTTTCACTGATTCAGTAAGCTTTCTTCATTGGATAAGCACCAAAAGAACAGAAATCAACAACAAAAGATGACAGATACCTTAGATAACCATGAGGGGTTTTCTGACAACAGTGTATGCAGACTTGTGGCTACCTTCTGCCAAGGTTCAGGATGGTTCAGGGCATTGCTGCTTGCAGATCGATGAAACTAACTTGGCCGAGCAAAGCACATAAAACGGTAGGTTTAGTCAAGTCGCATCACTGGCTGCACTGACTGCAGCAACATGCAAGCCAGGAACCCGAGTTGATTGATCCCCAAGATTTCGCGCTCCGAGCAGCGGGCAGCAATGTTCCTCGTTCTTTGGTTATGCAGTCTCGTCTTTGGCAATAAGATTGCATCGCAGACAGATGCACACCATCATGCAAGGACAGTTTTGTCTTGGAGCCAGAAGCCAGCCCTATGCCGGAGACGGTAGGTCCGGGCCTCGGGATAGTGCAAACTCAACAGCATTTCGTGGACATGAAATGGAATGCTTTCAAAGATTTGCTGGTGCCTGGATGAGGAAGAAATTAAGTCTGTGCAGTCCTGAGGCGTGGAACGTGACCGTGCAGGTGCACGTTCATCCGCTACCTAGCGGCACATGTTTCGCATGCTAGTTTCCTTACTGGGAGGCTTTCCAGACATTCCGCCTCTCCACATGGGCAACACCTCCATTGCCAACTCCCGCGCAGCATCGCCTGATTCGCGAGGTTGGGTGTTTAGCGTGCAGCAGTGCCATCACTATTATTACTACTATGACTATATTCCTACTATACGATTATTTTATTACTCCATTATTACTCTAGTATTACTCCACAATAACTCAATTATTACTCTATTGTTACTCTATCATTCCTATATTGTTATCTCGCCGGGCCTGGCCTTTTCGGTCCTGCAACTGACTTGAGGAGACATCATGGATGCCCTGTTGAATGATCTGGCTGACCTGGGAGTAGGTGCTCCTCTCAGACCCCAGGCATTGTCTTGATCCCGCCTTGAACATGCAGATTGATTTGTACTTGTTCTGTTGAAGAAGGCGTATGACACATAGTAGGCAAGAAGGCTTCACTGGTGATGCGGCTAGAAATGCTCGTACATCATCTACTGTGACCGTGGCTAGTCCTGCGCATTTGCTTACTGGGGCTTCGTAGGGAACAAGGGAATATCTTTCCTATATAATCCATCTATGACATATTGCCTACTAACATTCCCTATATAATCCCTATATAGCATATTCCCTCTTAACATTCCCTAAATAGTCCCTAGATGACATATTCCCTATTAACATTCCCTAAATAGTCCCTAGATAACATATTCCCTACTAACATTCCCTAAAGAATCCCTAGATAACATATTCCCTATTAACATTCCCTAAATAGTCCCTAGACGACATATTCCCCATTAACATTCCCTAAAGAATCCCTAGATAACAGAATCCCTATTAACATTCCCTAAACCATCCCTACATAACATATTCCGTGCTCCTCAGTCAGTTGGTCGTAGCAAGGTGAAGACCTGGCGCCCAGTTCTGCACGACTTCCACCTAGCCTGGCCCCGCCGACTCCGATTCCTGGCCCGGTGCGGCGCTTGGAGCACTACTGTTGAATAACTGAAATTAAGTTACTACAATATGGATCTATAGTAAATAATATGGTTTCTTAAAATAGCTGATTGCTTGTAGTCCCTCCACCTCTTATCAAACCCCCACATCCCGCCCCTAACATAGATATTCCCATTGTGGTACAAGATATTGGCATATTGAAGAATAGGGTGGGTGGGTGGGTTTAGCCGCTGACTGGATTGTTGCTGAGGGGCGTAAATTAAGTTGCCATAATGCGGATTGGTTTTACATGATATGGTGTCCTCGTAGTGGTAACTCAATTCGGGCGCCTCAACTGCAACCCGGTCAATGACTTGTGCGTGATAGGGAATGAGGGCATGTATCTATGATGCGGTCCCTTGTACATGATTTTGAACGAGGCCGCCCATAATCCATTCCTCCATTTCCCCACGGAGCCTGGTGTTACCGAAGAGTGTTGCTAGCCTTGCAAAGCCGTAGCAATCGCAGGTAACCTTCAGGGAACGTTTTTAGGGAGTCATACAGATAGGTGGCTTCAAGTTATCAGCTTCCGTTGCCACGTGCTTCTTGTATCGGCTTTGGGGGGTTCATGTGGGCTGTTTGTGTGCTCCGAATTCAGGACATGGATGTGTCTGCGCTGTCCTGGAGCCCTGAAGAGTGTTTGGAGCTCCGGCGGCTCGTGCCTTGCCTCAGTAAAAGCTGCCCAATTGATTCAGTCAGTCCCGGTGAATGCGCCCAGGTCAAGCGCGTGGTCAGGTCTGGCACGTCTGATAAAGAGCAAATCTGGCTACAGGCAGCATGTCCAAAGAATCCATTTCAGCATTCTGTCGTCTTCATTTTCAGCATTATGCCTGTGAAGGTGAGCCGAGAAATGGGGGGACGGTATTCCGCTCGTGAGTGTAAGCTCCAATACGCACGCGACTACAAAGCGGAGCCTTAACTTTCAGTCAGTCGCATGGTATCAGATGCCATCGAGACACGTGCAGGTGCATATTGACGTTGTGCCCTGTGGCTTGGACGCTAAGACTCTGCCTCCACTGCTTCAGCTCAGGACAAGATGAGGAAGCAAGCTCCTGGTCAGAACAAGAAATCAACATGCATGCAATTCATTTCTTATTTGTTTTTGCTTGTGCGAGTATTGAAGCGTTTCCTGCCGAAGGCCATGGCAGACGGATAGGCTGTCAGTCGCGCTACCTTTTTTCAGCGATCTGCTGGTAAATCCAGCACGGATAGCTCAGATGCGTGAGTGGCAGAACTCCAATGTGAGTCAGGCAATGTTGCCTTGCATGCCAGCCCTCATTGATTCACCCCGCAGCGGCCAAGACTCTGGGTGCCTGGCATATCCTAGCGTGGAATTTAGCGTGGCAGCCCGCCTTTAGGCTGTGATCCAGAGCTTGGCCCAAGTTTTCGGTATCTTGGATAGAATCGTGCGATGGTCGGCGTACCTCTTCCACATTGTCCTAGCAGGAGCAAAGGGGCCCATGTTGAAGAAACACAACAGACAAACATGTGCTAAGAAAATCAGAAGTAGAAGTTCACAGCAATTGTCAATACTTTGCACCCTCTCCTCGCTCCCCGGCTGAAATGGCTGAAACTAGATGCTTGTCAGCTAGACTTTAGGACTGCAAGCAGTGATTGCCAGGAATGACCAGGATAAACCCCAAGACATCACAACAATAGCTTCCCTTTTTTTATGATGGGTACAGATGCGAAGTCCAGCAGCGTATCACCCCAGGCATTCCACAGTAAGAGCCGACAGGCTCAGAACTGTGGGAGGTCCTCACCGCAACACCTTGGCTTAGGGCTCCACGTTGGAAAACAGCTCAGTACCCAATTCTGGTAAGAAGCCCAGAGCCACGGAAGTCTCCTGTTGCGCCTAGATTCGGAGATGAATTCGTAAGCAAGTATACGAAAAAAAGAAAGCTGCCGGTCTCCAACTCCAGTCGGATCCCATTACCGTGCGCGCAGGCATAATCAGTGTTGAGCGCGAGCTGCTTGACTGCTTGACGAGGCCTGCTTGGAATGTGCCCCGACGGGGCCTCAGCCAGGAAACTGACAAAAAAGTGCAAAAAGGGAACGGAGGACCGTTTGGCATGTTCTTTGCAGGCTGGACTTCAGGAGACGCCTGCTGCAGCGCTTACCCGCTGTGCTATGCCTGGATATGTAGAGCTTGGCTGCTTTGCTTGATGTTCTTTTCGTCTGCAGTCACTTCGCAAGGTGGATCGCTCAGTGCCAGCCCTCTTCTGAGCTTATCCATCTGACATGCTTTTGGCAGAGGAGAACCTCACACCAAAGAAAGGTCTCTCTCCTGGCCACGTTGTTGTCTCTGAAGAAAGCCAGTCCCGCGCAGATACTGAGGCAACTAGGGAAGAATTCATGATGTCTTGCCTGTCATGTTGTGGAGTGGTGTTTTTTCAATTCAGGCTTGGGCCTTCGGACTTGGCACACCTACAGCGCCAGAAGCTTGACCTCCCATCCTATCATAGCCTGTAGGAAGCATAGCTTGCCTTACCCTTCGCACTGCCAGGCTAAGGGTTTCAGAAAGGACTGCTGCGGCGTGTATAAAACCTCTATACGACCCTGCTTTCGAAAGTTAATCGTTTGAATGACCTGTGAAGGGCCCATTGAATAAGGTCTCCCTTAGTCCCTTAGTCAACGTTCCCATAAACAGGGCCGCGCGTAATCGGAATCGAAAAGTCGACCGAAAGAATAAAAATAAAATGGCTGCACTGGGCCAGGACCCCAGCCTGACAGTGTCAAGTTTCATAACAATTGGGAACCACAAGGTCGGACACAAATAGATTCTGGACAAAATCAAAGCCTCCTATGATACCTTAGCGCCGAAAACAGCAATCTGACCCCATATTTCGCCCACCACCGTTACCAGAGATCCTTCGAAATTGCAGAGAGGCAGCTCCCGTAATGGTGGCACGCTGATTTTTTGATTCTTGCGGTCGACGTGTTTGAGAAACGTCCATGCTAACAACATAAGCTGCCTCTGCAAGAAAACGTTCAGGGACGAAATCATGGCCTGGGCAGCAAATGCACTTGAGGCTTGGGCCCTCTGACACCCTTGGACCAATGGGGCGCAGCCTGGACTAATGGGGCAAAGCCTAGCTGGGACTAATAGGGCGAAGCTCGGACTAATGGGGCAAAGCTTGGCTTAGCACGACAAACGATGTAGTTATCATTGTGTAATGGATGCTTCAGTTTTCGGGTGCTTTCGAACATCCTCGAATGAACATGGACGATATAACGGCTTGGGCGAAAGGCGCACATGCCCGAAACTACCCTCTACCCCCCAACTTCAACCAATAGTCGAAAGATAAAGACACAAGTTGGGGTTCGTTTTCCACGGCGATGGCATATTCCAGTAGCCTCAAAGTTTTTTTTTTTTTAAAAAAAAAATATATTTTTGTTTTGATCTTGGTTTCTTGGACCCAAAATGTCCCGAATTCCTGAGAACCGTCACGAGAAGTGATCTACAGAATTTCAGTTTTCAGCTGGTGTTGCTTCACCTTTCGTTTTCCAGAAAGCCTCTGTTGTTGAAGCGAGCCCTTGCTCCAGAACAGGTTTTGTTTCTGAGCCGAACTGCTAATTTCCGTGCTTCCGCCTTTGTTCTGCAACATTAAGCTCGGAGCAAACCAAAACACGCTGATGCTTCAAAAGTAAAACGTGGCATCAATTTTCAGTCGTTCCTTACAATGTATACTGGTACCAAATCAGGAGCTTCATTCCTCAAGTGCTCAACAAGAACAATTCTCACAATGATTTGCACATGAGCAGGAACAGCAGACATCAGAATACTGGAGGACGACCGAGAATCCCCCACGAAAGCTTGTTTTCCAGTTCATCCCCAAATAAATAAAGCAAACAAAAGACCTTGCTCACTATTCCTAACCGGCTACAGAAAATCCAAGAGCGGGAGAGATTTGTTCCCGGCACAAAAAGATACCAGAGAAACCCAGTTGATTTGAAGGAAGTGAAACATCCAGTTCTTTTCAGGCACTCCTTGATTTCTTCACAGAAATTCAGCATAGTGAATGCCCCGTGCCTACCATTGGTATCAGTACTGGAACACCTAGCTGCTTAATTACTGCTGATTGTCACAAAGATGGCGGCGGCAGCGGCGGTGGTGGTGGTGGTGGCGGTGGCAGTGGCAGTGGCGGTGGTCAGACTAGTAATTGTATCGAACAAGAAACACGAAATTCACTATTGCCAAACTGACAATAACAAACAAATTGATGGTGCGTGAACAGTAGTAGTAACACTGCACATATGCCGAGCAATAGTAAGAATGCTAGGATGATTCTACAAGCAGCCAAGGCACAGGGGGCAGCTCACATTGTAGATGCTACGAATGTTGGGAACAATACTTATATGTGGGAGTATTTCAGATATCCTACTACTTGCAATTATACTGGAAACATTGCAGAAACTTGGGACTAATAGGAGTCTTGGAAAGATTCGGGAGCTTTAGAATATTTGAAGCAGTAACAACCTCGGGACGTTGGAGATGCTGAAAACCTTTGGATTTTTTGGTTTGTCTGGACAATAAGGATCATCGGGATGCGAAGAAGACTTAGAGCTGGAGACTACAGGTAACACACTGAATGTTGAGATTTTCGGGATGAGCAAGATTGTGCTACTAGGACCTTCAGTAGCTATTGAACATTGAATTTCAGTTTTTGTGTAGTTTGTGTGGAGCTAAAGTAGGAAAAAAGTTTCAGATGTTTACACGCCACAAGAGTCCCCTCCCCAAAAAATCTATACTAGCACTAGCAGCTGTGGGTTCTTTGAGCCCAAGCCCAGCATCAGGACCCGGGAGTATTCGGCAACGATTCTTTGAAAACCAGGTCTTGCGCTGTCGCGTGATCCGCTTCCTTGCCTGGGGCTCGGCGCAAGTTTGCGCGTCATTTACAGTAGCTCCAGGATGTGAAGCTATCCACATGGGATTTTGTTCGACCTAGGCTTGGCCCATTCTGGGGAGCTTCTTCGGCATCTTTGCGAGGCTGCTCAGTGGCATGGATTGTGTTGGTGGTCACTTGGGAGCTGCCGACACGCAGGCATACTACTTGGGCCAGTTGGCACCTTTGCAGCTTCGAAGAGAGGACGAGGTTCCCCATTCAAAAGCAGGAAGCAAGCGCTGTAGGCTTCACATGTCTTGCTGAACTCAGGAGTTGCTGGTGGCATTTGGTCGCCTGGCTGACGCAGCCACTGAAGCTGTCACAGCAGAAGACTGAGATCGAACAAAGTTGCGTGGTGGTGCCATGCCGTAGTAGCGCTATGTTAGTATGAGGAAGTGCGCTTCGAGGCCAACCAGACAGCGCTCGCAGCCAAGCGCATTGCTGGGGAGGCCTTGGCTTCCCGGGAGGCCCAAGTGCATTTACATTGCTTAGCTTGAGCCCCTTTAGGTTGCCAAAAGGCTCGCAGTCGGCAAGGTGCCTCAGGACATGATGCATTTGTTTCAGCCCAGTCAGGGTGGCTAAGGTCTTAACAAGGAGGTCCGCGTATGCCTGATTGACGTCACTGGGCAGGCCCACTACATAGCTGCAGGTATGATGTCGATGAAACGAAGCTTGTCATGCAGTGATGTCACGGGCAGAATAAAAAGCAACACCGGAGATCTTACCGCACAGGAATGGAGCACATGGCTGCCTGCGGGCTTGCAAACGCCAGAAGGCCCAACAGTGGGCGACTTTGGCTTGCACGAGACTTCATGGTCACAGAAAACAAGTGGAGCGCCTAGACCATTGTCATACCAGGTTGTCAGGTCCAAGACTTCCGCAAGATTCCAAGTTTTTGCTGCAAGCACGGCCACTTGTCGACCTGTCCCTCGTGGGCACAGAAACTGCCACATGCTTCCAAGGATGCCAGTTTACTTCTTCGGCTGCATGCCCATTGGACATATCCAGTGGAAGCAGAATGCGCTTGCCTTTGCCTGCCAAGTTGATCGCGCGCAGTGGTAAAGAATGCATACGCAGCTGAAACTCAACAGGTTGAAGTTCTACTCGCAAGTTGTAAATTTGGTTCCGTGCTTGTGCTTGAGGTGGGGAGCTTGCTTTGCAAGTGGGCTTTCACAACATTCCGTTCCCTCGTCAAGATTAGTTGATTAGGGTGGATGGGGGGGGCTTCTCTTTACATGAGGAACGACAAGTGCGCCCTTGAGGTCCCGAGAAGCAAGAGCTGGCCCCCGGCAGCTCGAGGTCGACGTCTTTTGTAGCTTTCTTAAGGTGGAGTATGGGTAGTTTCAGCGGCTTACTCTAATACGCTGTTTGGGGGGAGGCATGTGGGCTGCGCTCGGTTTTCTGAAACTTGCACGTGAAGGCCAATGAGGAGACATATTCATGAGTCATAAGTGCCGCAGGTACAACGTGAAGCATCAGGAACATGATAAGGTGATTGTATGCTATCTCTCGCAATCTCGGAAGCTGTAGCTTGCAGGCGCAGCTTTTCCACAGGTGGCAGGTGCAGGACTCCGGAAGTTCTGCAGAGAGAGCCCGTTGTGCATGGGACACGTTTTGTTTGACAAGCACGCCCTTTAGATCCCACAAACTCTGTATATGAGGCCTGCTGAGATAATTCTTGAGCCTTACAAACTCACAAGGACGCCTCACGCTGCAGCAGTGCGAGAGAGTAACGACTCCCAAAACGCAAACACAAAAAACATATCAGCTCCCCTTTCAGGAACTCACCAGCAGCCTGCGAGAGGCTGGGCCGGCGCTGTCCTGAGATGCAGTTGTAGACAGCAGTAATGTTGAGCAACCTTGAGTGTTATTGTCTTCGTGGTCAAGGCCGAGACCTTACTCCAGCTGAAGTCTCAGTGCTCGAAGTGGGCTATGTGTGCCGGAAAGTGTGTTGATAGCCTGCTGAGCAACCATCATCAGGCTGAATGAAGCAATCAACCTGCCTGTGCAACTCGTCAGCCCCGTGTGCCAGCCCGAGAAGGTCTTCTAAAACTTGCGCGCCCCGAATATTGGCATCATGGTGTTGTGCGGAGGGGACACGGTTTTTGTTGCGTTTGACCACGAACTCAGGCCAGACCCTGCAGATGTTTACTTGAACATCCGCTTGTTCGAGACCTTTATGCTGGTCCCTTACAAGATGTAGCTTGTTGCAGCGTGCAGGATAACCCCGCAGCTAATAGGTCCTCGTATTCCGCACGGGGAGCTTGGGGCAGTGCTTGGATGTCCTGCCCTCAGAAAGGGGCTTTTCCCTATGTCGCTAGGTGGAAGGGGGATCATTGAGAAGCCACGCGTTGTTTGCAAGGCCTCTGAAAAGCGTGGCCCAGGAGGAGTCAACGCTTCAGCTTGCCTTGGAGGCTGCTACTGTAGAGGCGAGTCGCGATTTTTGAAGGCCTTGCTATTGCTAGGTCGCTGATGGCGTGCTCGAAGGAGGTGAGCCCAGGCATGCAGAGTTCCTGTGCCAATACTGACATGGCCAGCCGCATGTGCTGTGACCCTACTCATGATTCCAACATGGAGGTTGAACGTCACCACGACCTGGCAGTATCCTCTTCTGTACAATGGGTCGAAGGCAGCAGCAGCCGGAAGTTCATGTTGCCAGGCAATCGTCTGCCATTGTCCGCCACATCAAACACATGATCCTTTCAGAAGGGAGTGCTACTGTCAGATTTGTTGGAATGCTGCCAAGCAGTACTGTGACAAATTCCCATGGACGCGCGTGGTGCAGCCTCAGCGTGGACGCGGCCTCCTGCAGCTTACTGGCTTGGCAACGTGGTATCCTCAGCAGAAGATGGTCTCGAGATGGGCAGTAGACTCAATAAATGATATAGGGCTAGGGTCTTTCTCGGGGGAAACCCCCCAACAGTGCACCCAATTACACTGTTATATAACTATATTATGCTCTTGTACGATTATGTTATTATAGTATTTTATATTACATTAGTATATTCTTGTATGAGCGGCGGCCCAAACTCCCCATGTGGGATTCCATGTAAACATGAAAGTAATGATTGGTCGCGTCAGCTTTTATGCCGTGCGCAATAGTTCGCGTCAGTAAAGCATGAACATTCCC